CAGAGAGTAACCGAAGTCCACTCCAAAAGTCAGGGGTTCCAGAGAGCAGGTTTACCAAAGTCCAGTCTGGGGTCAAGGAGTTCCAGGAAGCCAGTCCAAGGTCAGGGGTTCCAGAAAAAACAGTTGTCAGGTCCAGTAGCAGCAAGGCTGGTGACTCGGTACCAAAGTGTACTTGTTGTATTCACAAATTGCTGCTTGTTCCAGCTGAATTTATAGCCAAGTCTTAACAAGCTAAACTCCCAGCCAATTCCTTGGCAGCCATCCGGAAACGACTCATTTGTCTCTTCAGTTGACGGTGGGCTGTGAGTCTTGCCCTTCTTCTCCTTTCTTGTAACCAGGGGTCATTTCGTAGAAAAAGAGCTAGGGGAACTCATTAGCATAACTCATTAGCATATGCCACACCCCCTGACATCACCGGAAGTGTGTCATAAGGCCACACCCCCTGACATCACTGGAAGTGTGTCATAAGGCCACACCCCCTGCCACCAATGGTCCCGGCCGCCGCCGCCGGCCTTGCAGCTCCACTGCCGAGCCCCGTGAGGGGCCCAGCGGTGGACCTGCAAGGCCGGTGGGAGTGCAAGGAAGCCCCACAAAGGCCCTCCTGTGCCCCAGGGGGCGGGGCTTCATCATGTGCCCCGCCCCCCGTACCTCACCCGGGGGAACTGCAATCCCCTGCGATCCCCCGCGATCCCCCCCGAAATGACCTCTGCTTGTAACTCTAAGGTTGTGTTCACAATGGCAGTTTGGCCCGATATAGGAACATTGTACAAACGGATTAAATGGGCCCGATCACACAGCCACATCTGTCAGGTGTTCCCCAGGCGTACTCACCCCGTCAGAGGACGACCTGGAGCCGGGTTAAAAAGCCACCACCTCTGAAGTGGTGTTTTTGTTTCCCCATGCATTCATTGCGCATGGCTGGATGTCTGAACATGGGGGAGCGCGCGCAGAACAGCCGCCCTGAGCCCGCATTGCGGGGAGGGCGGGGTATAAATTGAATTAAATAAATAAATAAATAAATAAATAAAATTTGGCAGTCTGAACCTGCAGATCCGTTCTGCCGCTACGGAGGTGGTTTTTAAAAATAATTGCCTATGTGTGCATGCGTGCACATGCACACTATGCACACACATGGTGGGGGGTTTTTTTGCTGTTCGCTCCATGGCTGAGGTGCCGCGATCATGTGGATGCTTTACCATGGGATGTCTCTGTGGGTAACCCACAGCAGGGTGTGCTGTGTGGCTGATATATCCCACTACACTTTAACCTGGTTCAATTAGAGGTGGCACCATATCGTGCCAAGCCGCCAGTGTGATCACAGCCTAAGTGTCTCTGGCAGTGTCAGTGCTACAAGGGTGTGGGTGAGCTAGGTGGGCTGGGAGTGGCTGCTGAAGTGTTGTTTACTGCTTCAGAGCTACAAGGTGTAGTCTGTGACTGCTGATCAGCCGGTAACCTGATCTCTTCTTGTTCTTCTTCTGGTTTAGAGCCAGCTGCAACTGGCTGTTCAGTTACTGGCTCAGGGCTAGCATGTAGCTCTTCCTCTGAGAAATCTGAGTCATCACTCAGCACAGACTGACTTACCACAGTTTGACACTGTGTGGCATGCAATGGTATTTAGTATTTGATGGATAACTGATGCCACAATAAAAATCCTTTAGTCTTTAACATACCAGAAGACCTTTTGTTTTTCAGCTTATGAGAGAATCTGTCAGCTTCTAAGAATTCGTATCTGAATGATTTCTGGCACTGTTTAGGATGGTTCCTTTTTTACATGTATTTATTTGATTAATTTATAAAACCCAACTCTTCTTCTTTCACCAGCTGATGTTTTGGCCCCTGCTTGGCTGCAGTTAGCAGATCAGACAGTTGGTTATAAAGGCCATGGTAAATCCCAATAAGCATGTTTGACCTATGGTAAGCTGCAGTGCAGACAAGCTTATAGTGTTAGGAGACAGAAGCTCTTCACTCCGTTCCTTTCTTTCAGATTGGAACAAGATAACCCCTACTGTTCCCTAACACTTCAGAGTTGGCTTTAGTTTATCTGTCACAGTGTCCTGGAACGTCGCTCAGTTTTGATTGCTGCGTGTCCCTGCACGGGTCCCAATCACATACTTTTGACTTTCTTGGAAGTCGATTGCTGTCTAATTATAGTAGCTATTGAGATGCTACAATCTTTTTGGAGATATATACCTTGGGTAAAGATCATGTTTTTTAAACATATCTATATTGTTAAATCAGTCGTGTTTGCTTTTCAGTCCAGCTTTATCTACTATAAATTTCAGAATTAAGTCCTCTCACCATACATGGAAAACTCATGGTAACATTCTCAAAAATAGAAGCTGTGCTCCCTTCCATTTTATTTTCACGACAACCTTGTGAGGTAGGTTGGCCTGAGATGGGTTGACTGGCCCAGGGTCACCCGTTTGCTTCATCCCTGAGTGGGGATTTGAATCTGGGTCTCTAGATCTTAGTCCACTGCTCTAGCCACTGCACAACACTGTCTCTCTAGTGTATCAAAAGAAAATGAGTAATGGTCAGAAAAGGTTTATTCTTGTATCATGGTGGTATCTCATTTAGGTTGGGTAGCCATGTTGGTCTGAAGCAATAGAACAAATGTTGAGTCCAGTGGCACCTTTAAGCCCAACGAAGTTTAATTAATTAATTAATTAATTAATTTTTATTTAATTTTATTCTGTATGTAAGCTTTCATGCAATGTATCTGAAGAAGTGTGCATGCACATGAAAGTTTATGCCCAAAATTAAACTTTGCAGGGCTTAAAGGTGCCATTGGACTCAACCTTTGTTTTATTAATACCTCTTTGTTAAAGAGATTTCAGTAGAACTCTTTTACTTCACCACTGGCGTGCTTATTGCTCTCAAATCCCTTGGGAGAAAAGAACCTCTTTGCCACTTGGCAAAACATCTGTATGAATAAGTCAGTCTTCCCGCAACGATCGTACTGCCTCAGTTTCACATTGGGAAGGAGTTTTTTTTTTTGTTTGGAATCACCCCAATGGAAGCATAGCAGAATTCAGACTGGTGTATAACTTGCATTTCCGAGGAGTACTTGTTTAGCTCTGAGTGCGTGAAGTTGTATCAGTGAAGGAGGAGAGGCTGATGAGTCAGTTGATCAGGAATTCCAAATTTAGGCTGCCTTTGGGCTTTTTTCGGCGAGAGAGTCAGTGCTGAGCCAAGAGGCTTCGCTCTTGATAAGTGCAAGCAGGTGTGCTATACCGGGAGTCGGCTTTCCTGCATTTAGATATGTCAGCAACACGGCATAGCTACTGTTTTTATGGAAAGTGGGCATGCGTATTTCAAGATGGGGGGGGGAATGTGTAGCCCTCTAGAGTTGATGGCTGAAGACCTCTCTGTCTTTGTCTCTCTGTCTCTCTCTCTTGTAAAGAACCTACATTAGCCAAGCTAACGTCTTGGTTTCTGCTTGACAGGCCCTATTCTGTTGAGTGTCACAGTTACCAAGCCAACTCGGCTCTGTTATTTGGAAGGAGTCCCGTCAGACAAATCCCAGTCTGGCCAGAGCAAACATTTGGCCTTCCTGCCATTCCTGTTGTGGTTGCTCTGGTTGCGTGGTCTACAGGCTGTTGGACAACAACTGGAATGTTGTCACCAGCAGAACTGGCATAAGGAATTACCATATATACATTTGCAGCAGTGATTGTATTGTAGTGATATCTCTTGTCTTCCACAAGGGGCTATACTTAAGCAAGGATTGCTGGACTGGAATGTGAATGGATGTGTGTGTGTGAAAGAGAGAGGGAGGCGGGGAGGCTGAATTTGTCCTGTGAGCCTCCAGTCACTTGTTCCCAGGGTCGGCTCACTCACTAGGCGAACTAGGCGATCGCCTAGAGTGGGATGGCCATTAGGGGCACCAAACTGCACCCGGCCCCGTACTCTGGGAGTTTCTTGATTATTTGTGTTTTTTATTCTTCCTAAAATGCATTTATTTTTGAAAATTGGTAGGCGCACGGGGGGGGGGGGACATAAGGGATCCTCGCCTAGGGTGCAAAATAAGCTGGAGCTGGCCCTGCTTGTCCCTACCTTATATTCTTTATTTTTTTTTAGTGGAAGAACTGCTAAACAAGGGTGTGATCGCTCCAGGGCAGTTAAGCTGACTGCACTGTTCTGAATTACATTATCAGATTGATAAGGGCTCTCATACCCTGCTCCTTTATGGCTAAAGTAATCTCTGGGTATGAGAAGCTGCTAGTATATGATGGAGCCTCGGCCTTTCTTCAGCTGTCCCTTAGTGGACGTAATCTGTTAGGTAGGTTGTTGGGGGTTTTTTGCAAGCGCCATTGAGATGAATTGGAGCTTTACAAGCAGAATGTGCTATAGTCCAAGTCTCAAGTATACCTTCTCATAACAGAGAAAGAGGGAGACCGGGGGGGGGGGGGGGGGTTTACCAGATAGCCTCAAAGCCTTCCTCACTCCACACGAATATTTAGTTCATCACCATCCCAGCTTTCCACTGGAACAAACGTTGAGTCCAGTGCCACCTTGAAGACCAATGAAGTTTTATTCTGGGTATAAGCTTTCTAAGGTGTGGAATCTTGTGAGCGAAAATTCTTTGTGAGCAACTGGCATTAAAGTTGTGAGCGAGCGGTTTGGCTCCTGCTTAAATTAGTTTGCTCTGGAGCCCTCCTTCCTGAGCTAAGACAAAAAAGTGTGAGTCAGAGGCTAAAAAACTGTGAGCTAGCTCACACTAACTCAGCTTAGAGGGGCCATTGGTACAGGCACACTTCTTCAGATACAGGTGTGCACACAAAAGCTTTTACCCAGGATAAAGCTTTGTTGGGGGGGGAAATATATTGTACCACTTTGATACTGATTGGCCTTGAACTTGTTTTGCCAGCTTTTGAAGGACGTGGTTGTACAGAGACAATTGTGTTACTATATATAGTACAAAAGGGATGTACGCTCTCTTGACAGACTTTCTGACTCCCTTCGCTTTATTTCCCTTCCCTCTCTTCTTCGCTCTACAGATTACGCCTGGCAGCAAAGCGGCTCAGTCCCAGATGAACCAGGGGGACATGGTGGTAGCCATTGATGGTGCCAACACAGACGGCATGACCCACCTAGAAGCCCAGAATAAGATCAAATCCGCGAGCTACAACCTGTCTCTCACTCTCCAAAAGTATGATGAAACAAGTTACTGTCTATTTAAGAATCTGATTATTATTATTATTTTTAATCATTTATTTTCATTTTCCATATTAAAAAACCCCATACAATACATACATCATCAAAATCCTCTCGGAGTCTTATCCACTTTATTCTATCCATTCATATAAATGCTTCCACCTTTCCCCAAACATTTTTTCATCCTTTCCTTGAAGGATTAAACTTAACTTGTCCATCTCTGCCATCTCTAATAGTCGACACACTAAATCCTCTTTCTTCGGGATGTAGTCCTGTTTCCAAAATTTAGCTAGTAAAATTCTAGCAGTTGTAAGTATTATAATTGTCATATATTTGTCTTTCCATCTGTAGCTCTCCGGTAGCATATTTAACAACACTGTTTCCGGAGATAGCTCGATTTTAATATTTGTTATTTTCAGAATTATTTTCTGTATCATTTTCCAGAAGTCCTGCACTTTTGGGCACCTCCACCACATATGAATGAAGGTACCCACATTATTATTACACTTCCAGCAGGGAATGCTGGATTACACTTGGCTATCTTGTCCGGTGACCAGTACCATCTATGGTAGATCTTATATATATTTTCCTTAAAGTTGGTACTTCTCATCAACTTTATCGACTTCCATGTTTTTTTCCAGTCTTCTATGTCTATTCTGCACCCTACATCGCTACACCATGTTTTCATTGTGTTGGTTACCCCATCTTGTATACGTTCCTCTAATAATAATTTATTATTTTTTAATGGGGAGAGGGCAGAAAGTTGCCCTCTTTGCAAACTTTTGAGCCACTTTCTTGCAAGGCAGGATTCTTAAGTCCCCCGTGCTTCTTCCACAACAGTATTGCATCCAAATGCAGCCTTTGGGTCTTCGTTCCTGGGGCAGGGCATGACCCCAGGACTAGTGTTCCCTCTAAGCTGAGTTAGTGTGAGCTAGCTCACAGGTTTTTTTAGCCTCCGGCTCCCACATTTTTGTCTCCGCTCAGGAAGGGATGGCTCCAGAGCAAACTAATTTCTGCAGTAGCCAAATCGGGCGCTCACACGTTTAATGCCAGCAGCTCACAAAGTAGAATTTTTGCTCACAGGACTCCACACCTCAGCGGGAGCATTGAGGACCCAGAGGCAGCTGGGAAACACAGAGGCTGAATTTCAGATACATGTCAGAGGAAACTGGGACAACTGGCACATCGTGTCCCTGTGTGTCAGGATAAGGAGCCACACTGGGCAGTAGACTTTCTGACTTGCATGTCCAGAACTGCATGTCTTTGTGATGATAGAAGGGTGAGAGGTCCAAGCAAGATCAAAGAACGTTGATGGAAGACCCAGAAAAGATGCTGTATTTAGAGCTCCCAGATCTGGGCCCATTACGCACACACATCTTACTGCAAACCTTCAGAGCAGTGAAGCCTTTAGTCTTGACTTCGGATGCTGTGCCCGCCATACACACCATTCTTTTTCCTCCAGTGCATTTATTCTGCAGCTACAATGATCAAAGTGCTTTTCCAAATCGGGGTGGAATGTCACTTGTGATGCGTGGGGGTGGGGGTGGGTGGCATCCAGAGTTAAATTATGCAATTGCCCTATCACAGCTGCACAGTGGCGCCCAGCAAGCACCTTCCACTTCAGTCCTCATGGTTCAGGTTTTGTGCATGCACTTTAGTGTTCGTTCGTTGAATGAAAGGGAAGCAGAAAGGAAGGCGGGCAAAGGGAGGAAGCCCACTGTTGAAACTCACCAGACTTTTCCTGAAACTGACAAGCAACTGTGAAGCCCCATTTTCCATATTGCTGAGCACTATGGGATTCTCTGTTGTGTAGTTGGCCACTGTGAAAAATGGAAAAAGGAAAGAGTCACCTGATCTCATAATATGGGGAAACGTGTTGAGTGTACAGAGGGCACGGTAGAACCCACTGGCACTGGTACTGCAAGCTATGATCATTAGCAACCTGTGTGTGTGTGTGTACGCACCTGTGCAAAGTCAGCAGCAATTCCACGCTTTGCACAGGGCTGCAATTTGTTTGAGGGAGGAGTCCTCTGGCAAAAGTGGTGCTGTTGTTGTGCTGGGCAGCACTCTAGCGCTCACCCCAGAACTCTGTGGTTAAACTGTGGAGTGTTGGGTATTCCTAGAGTGTTATGTCGATGCAGGGATGTCACTTCCAGTTTCTCACTGGAGGTGATACCTGATGCCAAATCCCCCCCATCTCTCCCCACCACCACCCTGTGGAGTGGCAGCAGAGAATAGAGGTCCAGACTGGGGTGGGTCTAATTCTAACCCTGCCCCCCAAAGGAATATCTAGCTGGAGCCATAGCTTCAGTTCTTCCATTTGGCTTCCTTTACGTAGCCCAGAAATTCCAAATGGAGAGTGGCTGAAGAGAATTTTTAAGTTGTTTCAGGGCATCTTTGTTTCCTGTAGTGTAGAAACACGTATTTCTCTTGCCCCAGTCAGATTTGCTTTATGAAACAGTACACAAAACTACAGAGCTGGTTTACAGTGGCAAAAATGTGACAGTTGCAGCACCATGGAATAGAACCATAGTGTTGGAAGGGACCATACGGGCCAACTAGTCCAGCCTCCTGCTCAATGCAGGATCAGCCTAGAGCATCCCTGAGAATATTCCCAAGCCTTTCCTCATAGGGCTTGAACTCCAGGCCCCTAATCGTCCTCATTGCCCTCCTCTGCACCTGCTCCATTCTGTCCACATCCTTCTTGAAGTGAGGCCTCCAGAACCTCACACAGTACTCCAGGTGGGCCTGACCAATATGGTGTACAGTGGGACTATGACATCTCGTGATTTGGATGTTGTACCTCTGTTGATACACCCCAAGATCGCATTAGCCTTTTTTGTCGCTGTATCACACTGGCTGCTTATCAATGTTCCCTCTAAGCTGTGGAAGTCTTGTGAGCAAAAATTCTCCTTTGTGAGCTACTGGCATTAAAGTTGTGAGCAAGCAGTCTGGCTGCCGCATAAATTAGTTTGCTCTGAAGCCACCCTTCCTGAGCCAGGACAAAAATGTGTGAGCCGGAGGCTAAAAAACTCTGAGCTAGCTCACACTAACTCAGCTTAGAGGGAACACTGCTTTATATGGGACTGCCTTCAAGCAAGGTTTTGAAACTTCAGCTGGTAGTACAGGGGGCAGTAAGGAACTTATTTCAACGTTATTAGCTGCAGCCAGGTTAACAATAGTAGCGGCTTGGAAATCTCCTTATTATCTCCCTACAATTTCAACATGGCAAGAGAAAATTTGGGATCAGTTTATAATGGCAAAAATTACAGACTCCCTGATGAGAGCGAATAACAGTAACGCGCCAACCTACGCCAAATTTGTTAGGACTTGGGCCCCTGTGTTAGACTACGTGCTAACGAAGGATATTCTTCCTGCTAAGCAGATCTATCATAAATGGTTATATTTATAGGCTATAGCAGGTAATCTATACAGGTCAGACTCATGGTAACTTACTAGTGCTGTATGGCGAGAAGAGATGTTAAGAGTGTATGGGATTGTGCGGATTAATTTAGCAGTGCTTATATTCAGTTTACGGTTCACCCATAGCAACCCCTCTTTCAGGCCTTCTTTCACTCTGGAAAAATAATCCCCTAATCTAAAGTCAAATGAAAACAAGATAATGTAATAACACACGCACTAATACCCCCTTCTTAATTTATTTTTATCTGGAAAATATTTCAGCCAACCTCTACTAGCAAAGCAAAGATGTTTTTTTTAAAAAAAATCTGATTTGCTCTTCCTCTTTCCTCTGATTCGCCTTTTTGCAGAAGGCGTTCTGATCTGTTTAGAGTGAAGTGCCAGTCAAGGCAGATGCCCAAAAGCCAGGGTTTAAGCCAACTGATCCAGCGTTATCCTTTCCTAGTTTCAGATGCAGAGGGGACTGCGTACTATGCTGACCTTTGTCCCAGGGCACAAAAAGTCCTCTGCCACACACACAAAAAATAACCATCTTTGGCCCAAGAGTTTCAAGGGAAAATCTCCTTGCTGTTGTCTTTAAAGGCAGGTTTCAAAGAGCCGGGCAAACCACTACCTGATCTTAAAGCTTACCACCAGAACATGAGTACTTAGGGTGGGTTGTACTAACAATTCCACTGTGTCACGTAAACGGCTTCACTGGTGAAAACATTTAGGAACAAGGGGACTGATCACCCCCTCCCGGTCTTGATGAGCAGTAAAAGATATGGAAGTGCCTGCTTTCCCTCTCCCCCCCCCCCCCCCCCCCCCCGTTGTCTGCTGAGCAGGGTTTCCTCTAAGCGGAATTAGTGTGAGCTAGCTCACAGTTTTCTAGCCTCCGGCTCACAGATTTTTGTCTTAGCTCAGGAAGGACGGCTCCAGAGCAAACTGATTTATGCAGGAGCCAAATCGCTCGCTCACAATTTTAAGGCCAGTCGCTCACAAAGTAGAATTTTTGCTCACACGACTCTGCAGCTTAGAGGGAGCATTGCTGCTGAGTTCACCCCTTATGAGATGTGAAACCTAGACATCCACAGCCTCCACGAGAAACACTTTTCCCGATTCGCTCCTGGCTCCCAGTCGCAGTGACATTTCCTTTTACTGATCTGGACGCTGATGGTTTCATGAGCATTATTTATAATACAACGGCTCATATCGGCTTTAGTGCTTCTCCCTTCTATCAGTCCACGGAGTGGCTTCCTCCTGCGAGCCGTGACTCTGGGCACTGGGTGGATTTGCTTCATCGAGGAGCCGTCTGCAGCCGCTTCCTCCTGTTATTGCCAGGGCAATGCTATATGCACTTACCGGGGAGTAAGCTCCATTGAATACAGTGGGACTTCTCCGTAAACCTGCCTAGGATCGTGCTGGGCCTCTCCCGGAGTCGTTTCTCGAGAAAAGGAAACTGTAGGGAATGGTTTTTCATTGGACCGGGAAAATGAATCCGGCTCACCAAACCTCAAAAAAACGTAGTATATTCTCTGAGGTAGATTTTTTATTTATTTATTTACTTGCTTCATTTATACCCCACCTTTCTCCCCA